TTATTCCGTTGCAATTGAACATGGGTGAAGAAAGAGAAGGTGACAAGGCAGAGAAAGCAACAAGGCTGACTGCTTTGTAGTTACTTTCACATTTACAAAACTGTGATCCTCACATTGCAGTTTGATTGTTGCCAGTGAATCTGTTATATCGGGCAAATCCAAGACTTGCTTTTGCTGTTAGTCACAAAAACTAATGGCCTCAGAGATCTTCTTCCTGCAAAGTCACCTGTTCTGTGATACCTGTGGCAGAAGGGTTATATAATCTGGTGTGCATATGTGCATGTTTTTATGAATTCACATTTCTGTCTTTGGGACCCAAGAGGTTCAAAGTTTCTTTTCCTAGTTCTCCGCCACTGTTTGCCTCTCTGTCAGGGTGTCAAGGGTAGTCAGGGCTTATTCCAGCTGGCAAAGAGTCTCGGACAGGGACGGCTGGCTGATCTATGGACTTGCTCAAACACACACACACAGGCACACGCACACAGAAACACACACGGGCACATCCAGTGTAAAGCGGACTGGACAGGCTCCCCCATGTTAGAAAATAGACTGTCTGTATTTAGCTTGTCTGCAGGGACTCCTCGCAGCACCTCTGGCCTTGCCATTGTAAGGGATGCAGAGGCTTTGTGCTGGCTTGTTTTTCCTGTGCTGGCGAGCGGTGATACTCGATAGGAACACAATGTTGTGGGTGGACTTGAATCTTGAATTAAATGAAGGCCAGTGCATCTGGTCTTCCTTCTGGTCTATGATTCAAAGCTTTGATGCTAGCATACAGGACCATCTTGGGTCTGCAGCCTCTTACCTAAACTCGCTTTCCCAGATTCATGTCCCTTCCCGCTCTGTGTGATAAGTGAATTCATCAAGGTAACTTTCAGAAACCTTCACTTTCACTGTTCCTCAGTGGTGGAACTGACCAACCTTCTTCCAAATAGCACAAACCATCCCAATCTTCTGAAAACAGAAGACATACGGCACTTCTACAAGCAAATGGATAAAAAAAAGCCAAGAAGTAACTTTTAGGGAACTCTTAGGCACCAAGATTAACATATTTGGCATCATGGATCCAAATATGGCATTAGCAACCAACATCACTTTTATGTTTATTTAGTTATCTTTACTTTTTTGGGCTTTTTTCCAGAAATCTTTACTTTCACTGTTCCTCACTGGTGGATCCGACCAACATTCTCCCAAATAGCAGAATCCATTACAGTCTTCTGAAAACAGAAATCATATAAAACTTTACAATCGACTGACTAACTAAAGACAAGATTTATTTAAATCTGCAACTAGTCAGCAACAAAACCTCTAGATTGCTAATCACAACACTTTTCTAATGTGCACACTTGTGAGACACAATCTCAATTACATATGAAGAGTTTGGTTCCAAAACGCGGTAAACACCATTTAAAAAACAATTGAGTTCCCGCCAAAATCAGTATTGTATCTGGTTGGTATTGAAACATTTTTAATTTTACGCAAAATGCGATAACCGCCGTGTTATTCTGTCATGTTTTCTCCCTATCTTTCCAAGCCGCGACAAACGCCAGTCTCCCTTCTCTGCAGAATGCGATACATCCGCTCAACCAATCACAGCGAACCATTCCACGCATTGTAAACAGTAACTGACAAGCTACGCAATATCGTGTTCATAATCGCAGATGTATTGCATATTGCATAGCTTGTCAGTGATCTATGGCTCTGTGTATTAAATGCCACTCCATCTGAAAGCACATGATAGAGATTTACTACTAATCACAGAACCGGCTTTACTGATGAGATGCATGTGACAATCGCATGCTATTTATCGTGCAGCCCTAAAAAAAATGAATAATTTTGACCGCATTGATGAGCCTGTGGTGGTTTCTGCAGTGGGGAAGAAACGTAAGCTATTAATAAGATTAGTATTGACCAAGTTCAGAGGCTGTCATATGTGGATCAACTTAATTTGTTGTGTATTTACTTGTTATTGTGTTGTGTAATTGTGTATTTACAACAGTTTCAATATGAAAAATAACTTTTATATTGATTCAAGGGATTTATTGCATTTTGGGGAAAAAATAATCCGTTTTTATAATAAATCTTTAAAAACCAAAATCTGGATTTGAATTTAGAATGTTATTATAACCTAAAGATGCTATGTGAAAGTTTGAAACAGAAAATAGTGGGTTTTATCTTGCCACTTTCTTGGTAAAGAAAACACATTTTTACTCAAATTAATCAAAATGGATTTATAGCGTTTTGGAACCAAACTCTTCATATTTTCTGTCTCCTTTTCCTGTTCAGTGCAAAAACAAACGCAAGTTTTTTTTTTTTCATTGTCTTGTGTTGCCAAGTTTGTACCAAAGTGAATTTTGGGATCAAAGATATTTGGGTCATAGTTAATTTGCTATTTTGGGATTGTAGATCTTGTAATTGACGCGAGTTTGTGATTAATTCCATAAAGATTAGTTGTGCAACAACTTGAGAGAAAACAAGAACCCGTGGAATGCGTGACTAACTTTAGTCTTGTGGTGGATGCTACTTTTCTTTAGTTTTCTGCACTTAATCTTTTGCTCTACCTAAAATTTGGCAAAGTCCCTGCTGGAAAAAGCCATCTTAAACCAGACTAAGCTGGTTTTAGTTGGTCCCCAAACCTGATCAGGCTGGTCTGTTGGCTGATTTTAGATGGGTTTTGTGCACTTTTTAGTTGATCAGGCTGGGAGGCCAACTTAAACCAGCTTAGGCTGGTTTAAGCAGGTTTTTTTTTTAACCACTTAAGCTCAGGGCGTTTTTTGGTATTTTCGCCTAAATTTGACACACTCAAATTCATTGTTTCACTGTAAAGACAACCCTTTGAACTACAAAATATGAGTGTAATTCTTTATAAATAACATTATATATTTTTCAAATATTACAATAAACACAAAAAAAACACAGGCGCTTTTGGAGTTTTAAAACAAATAATTTTTTTGAAATTCTGTAATTCAGGTTCTATTAGGCCCAACTCTCTGCAATTTACTTTGTTTGATGCCACTAGATGCCAAAAAGTACCAGAAAAAAGAATCTTTCAAATAACAGCTTCTAAACAGGAGTTATAACATTATATGTGAAACGAGTAGAAATAGACAATTTGACATCTAAATGTGTCATTGTGAGTTTCCTTTGCAAAAACAGGCTTTATAAAACACATTAACCCCACAATCCTATTTTACTCTGTGCCATAAGCACTTTAATTGATTATTAATTGAATTATGTTTCATTTTTATGTTTTTCTAAGTAGTAATATACAAAATGGCACAAGCGAATTGGACCTAATTTCAAATATTGTGTATACTACAATGAGAATCCTCATCACAATCATCACAAAACTGTCTACATTATGAATATATATCTGGTCTATCACAATCTAAGATAGAATCCATATCCTCCAGCTTTATATCATTCCATTTATATGCATTCTGTATTGGGACAATGATTCACAGCATCCTCTCACCTCATCATCAGCTCACTCCTGTATCCAGCATCTCTCCATGGCAACATTGCATCATTTCTGGTCCAGAGCGGAGCTAATTCGCTAGAGGGCAGCTATTCCTAGCCTTCAGAGCGTCAAACAAACACACATCAGTTCATCCACACAGCACTGTAATAATCCATGTATATTTACTGTATATTCACTGAAATGCATAATATACTGTACTTTTCTGTCAATAAACACTGTATCAGATTGCTAGCAGTGCTATCACGTTTCAGAGCAACGATTCCAACATAAAACACGGCTCAGACGCACAAACTCACCCGCATACAGCCTCACAAGACGCGCGGTCAATCCTCTCCACGGCGCGCTGAACGTTCTTCACCATATATAACTTGTATTATGATTATCATAGATTGATATAATCCGAGCAGCGTGTGCCGTATCCTTTCCGTAAGGCAAACTCGCCTTCAAATCGCGTCCAGAAACTACAAGTTCCACAACACCTAGCCAGAAGATCCCGGATGTCTGAAGACCCCCTCCCCCGCTAGTGACGCAGAGGTGTCAAATTTCACAGCTCTGAGATGGCCGCCGAGTAGACAGACATGAAATCTGACCAATTGGAGTCCACCAGCGATCGCAGACCCTAGAACATCAGACGCGCTGTCTGTGCGCTTTCATGATGTGGAGAGTGTCTCTCAGACGCGCAAACAGGCGCTCTGGCAATTTCGTTACTTGGACAAAACGCTATATATCTCACCGATGGAAGCACGCAGAAACGTGAAAATGGTCTTGTTTGAAAGAAGAGATCCTAATCTAAAAGATAATATAGAGTATATAGATATTTGTGGCTGTTTGTGGCTGACTGAAGCAGTGCTACGAGTAGGAATGTAAATTCGCTCAGAGGTGACCAAATTTTACATCGCGATTCTATCGAAGATAATTCGATCTGTGATTGTCACACAATGAAATAATCTACATCGTCAAATTCCTGAGAATGAGAGCTTTCTTGTGATATATGACTTGACTTTTTTGTTAAAAATATATAAAATACATATTCTTCGTAAAAATTATTCGCAATGGTTAGGCGGAAATTCGTGTGTGGGACGAATAATTTTCTAAGCTTAATTTTACTGCTTTATGAATATAAAAACCAAAAGGAATGGTATTCTTTGTAAAGAAGACACTCCAACCTTTCAAATGAACCCATATATGGGCTGATACCATATAAGGAAGGCTATGTAAATGAAGCATAAACATTTTTAACGCGATTTTGGAGTTTAACTTTAAGCAAAAGTAGCACTATTTGTATAGTGTTCTTTCTTACTACCCTTATAGTACTCATTTGAAAGTCACTATGCATGTAAGTGCCTGCTCTAAATGAATAAATGTAAATGCTTTTGTCCTGATTGTCTGGCCACTGTTATTTGCTACAGGAAGCTGTTTGGTTACTTGAAATGACTTTGGCCGCCCGTCGATATCAGGCAGTATTGAGTTCAAGACCACTGTCTATCGAAGTCATTGAAAGTCTCCTTTCCTTTTTGTCACACAGGCTGCGCGTTCCTCACCTACTGCGCCCGCGAGTCGGCCATCAAAGCCCAGAACGCCCTCCACGAACAGAAGACACTGCCGGGGGTAAGTCCGCTGCCAGCCTTTCGCCTCACCTCTTTAAGAGGGCCACAATACCAGTCAAAGCTAAAGCCATATGTTTTAGACAGAGAGCTAAAGCCTTTGGAGCAGAAATTAGTCGATAACCCAGCCTTTTAAGATCAAGCTTTGAGCTGTTTCATGGTACTTCTCCCCGAGGACATTTGCAGGCATTGATCCGATGCTTTCAGTGCAGGGCTTGGGGATGCAGTGATAGCAAATGTCAATTCATTTGTTCTCTCAATTTTTCCAAACTGCTCCATTTACGCAAAAAGCCAGTGAGTAATTGTTGCCCAGTTGCACAAAAGTATTCCAGACGCACAAAAATAAACATAGCGGGGTGCAGCGAGAGTGTTTCCGTTGACAGTTGTGTGCTTCTGAGTATGGCTGGCAATTGCAACGACATTCAAAGCACAAAACACACAAGGAGGTCCGACAGTAGTCTTTGCTGCCGTACACAGCCATAGTGAATGGTATAACAATGACATATTGTTGCTATGATGCCAGACAGATCTCCTGAAGTAACCTGCAGGAAACTTGAATGCACAGAGAGCAACGTAGATGCAAATATAGCACCAGCAGTATTGCTTTTGTGCCTTTTTTCCCCTTTGTTTGGACCTCTAAATATTGACATTATTTGTTTATAGCATTTTTTTTTGTTTTGTTTTTGCTTTGCTTTGTCTCATTTTGTTTTGTTTTTCGCTTTGCTTTATTTTATAAATTAATATATTTTACTGTTTTATTTTTTTATTTTGACAACATTTTATATTGTTATTATTTATTTGTTTGTTTATTAATATGGCATCACATATGGAAATATGGCACCAGTAACATTGCTTTTATACTCTTTTTCCTTTTTCTGTTTTTTTTGACCTCTAAATAATGTCTTTGAGTGGGTGCCAGGAAATTTGTTGGTTGACCATGTCATTTTTTTATTTTGTTTTGCATTGCTTTATTATTAAATTATTAAATATTATTGTTTTATTTTTTCTGTTTTCTTTTTGATATTGCCGTTAATATAATTACTGTTTGTTTGTTTATTAATTTGGCATCACAGATGCAAATATGGCTTTGCTTGATTTTTTGTTTTTGTTTTGTTCTTTGCTTTTGCTTCATTAATAAATATTATAAAGTGTTATTTTATTTTTTATTTTGAAATTACATTATTATTAATTGTTTGTTTGTTTTTACTTTATATTCTTCTGCAACTTTAGATTATTGTTTTTTTGTGGTTAATTGTACCAAAATCCTTAATAGTGAAGTTGCTTCTTTATTCCTTTTTAAATACTATTTTTTCCATTCTAAATTATATCATGAGCAATTTAAGTCAAACATTGGATAATTTTCAGAATTTCTTAGTATTTTATATGTTTCCTATTGTGCTCAGTTTGGCACGATGGTTCATGTTTGTCAACCATTGTTGCGGACCGTTGAAACATTCACGTAAGAAGCCTCAAAATGAAAAGCTTTAAAGAAGAAGCCAATGACAAGTGGTATCCAACATTCGATTTAGTGCCACTATGTCAAACACACACCCTTTTACACCCAGGAGAACATTTGAGCCTGAAAGGAGAAAAAAAAAGATGAAGGAGGGGGCAATCAGAATGTGACACATGTCATCCAAGCCTGTTGAGAATATCACAACTTCCCCATTGCACTGTGGGGTGAGAGAAATGCGCACATGTACACAGACTTGCTGCACGTGTGACATCATTGCATCAGCTTCACTTACCAGTGTTGTCATCCCCTGAGACAACTGCGAATAAGATAGTAGGTGTTTGTTGAAGAGTCTGTGAACTAGAGGCGTGTTTTTATGTTCATTCGTTTGCCTGCTAGGAATAGGACATGATGGTTGACTATTTTTTCATAGATGTATATTTTAGTTTTAATATTTTAGCTGTGGTGCTCTAATTAACATGCTGACAGTGTGATGCACTGTAAAATCCTCTCAGGAAAATGTGCGTCTTCTAAATTTAACATATTCAAAATACTGTGTCTGTAGCCATACACATTTAAACAGACATCTTTGACTGTTGCATCATGTCTCGCACTGTTTTTTTTTTTGGCGCCACAACATGAGTTATGTTTTTAAATCAGTGTGTCACATTTAAAAAAAAAAATGTAAAAAATCACAAAATCCTTCATTCGGTTGCGCTCTAGGTATTTGTGAACACAAGAACATGTCTTAAATACCCCTAATACCAGTCTAATTATTCAGGGTTTTTTCTTAAAGGCACAGCTCACCCAAAAATTTTAATTGGCATTGTTTTCTCTTCCTCGTGTTGTTCCAAACCTGTATGAAGCTCTTTCTTCAGACTTGTATGATGTTCTTTTTTTTTTTGTCCATACAATAAAAGTCAGTGGAACCCAATGTTGTTTTGGACCCAACTGACACGAGGGTGAACATATCATGACACAATTTTCATTTCTGAGTCATAATTTTCTCACCCTCATGTTGTTCCAAATCTGAATTCATTTCTTTCTTTTGCACGACATACATTAAGGTGTTTTGAAGAATGTTTGCAACCAAACAGTTTTGGTTCCCATTGACTTCTATTGTATTGACAAAAAATAAAAATAAAAAAAATACAATGGAAGTCAATGGCAACCAAAACTGTTTGGGCGCAAATATTCTTCAGAATATCTTCTTTCATGTTCTGCCGAAGAAATAACTTCATACAGGTTTGGTAGGACATGATGGTGAATAAATGATGATAGGATTTTTGGTGGACTAAACCTGTAATATTAGTCACTCAGGTAACTCATGACTAGTCCATTTTAAAACTATGTGCTTTGCGAACACGCTCTTTCCTCCATGTATATCTGCTAAAGTGGCCTGCAGTGAGTCTTGGCCAAACAGCCTATTCCTAAATCTTCCCCCAACATCCCCTCCTCGATACGTTGATGGTAAGCAGATATGCCAGTTGTTTGTTTGCTAAATCCTGCTTGATATGCAGATTGCCAGAGGCTACAGAGTAATTCATGTAAACTATGGTTCTCTCAGAGAGGACCTGTAAGTTATTTATGCTTGTGTTTTTTCCTTAACTCTTGACTGACCGTCCCTCTTAGCAAAAACCTTGATGGGATGTGATGAGTTAGGCTTTTGGTCCAGTGTTATTTATAATAGTTTCTATTATTATTCTATTAATTTGAAATTAGCTTTTATTTTTATGTTTTTGTAATTTTCTTTTCTTTTGTTGTTTTTCTGAAGTATTACTAATTATGTTTAATTTATTTTTATTTCTATTTGTTTTGGTTGAGTTTGTTTTTATAACTTTCCAGTTAGCAATTTTAGTGCTTCAGCTACTAAGGCTTAATTATTTAATTATTTTAATAATTAAGGCTAAATTATTTTAAGTTTTTCATGTAATATTTATATTTCTTATTAGTTTTAGTTAACTATAACTACCCCGTTTCACTCATGTCATATGCAAAGTTACACCTTAAAGGTGACATAAAGCACACAGTTTCTGCCAATCTCATGAGAGCCCATAGAGTACTGTAGTACTCCATACTTCATATCTCCGATGAGTCTTTAGTTTGATCAGATTGATAAAAGACAGATACAGTTTAACGCTTCTCTCTGAAAACTGTTGAGCTCCTGGAGGTGTGCCGTGGGCGGAGCTAAAGAGTCACGAGCATCGCAGCTTTTGCGTAGTGATCGTCTGCAAGCTGTGACATCGATATTAATAAAACAGGAACAAAAACTTTATTTATTTAAATTTGATTTAATTTGTTTATAAAACATTCGTCACTGAAATGTTGGGAACAAACAAACACACTTGCACAACTCCGTTGCTGCCCCGGAGAAACAAACTGCATCCACTGTTCCCATAACGCTGGGTTCTTTGAGAAGCTGAACAAGGTTATCTTTCCCTTACAACCAAAAACACACTTCTTTGGTGACTGTTGATTTCGTGGTCTCAAAACAAAATGACAAATCCTTTTTGAGCAAGTCCTGTGCTGAGCTGCCGACGACTTCTGCAGCCCGAACGAAGCGCGTTGATTTGCTGCTGTCGCTCTCGCTCTGGTTGATGTGTGTGCGCTCTTCCGGGAGAAGTGCCCATACAAGCAATTCCATCCTTTATGAAGTCATGCAGGGCCATACTCAGAAAAAATAAACTTTTCGAAACTTATATGAACCCTGAAGGAGTGTTTTTGGCACAGACATATTTTGTCATATGTCCATCTTGTTTTTTGAAATTGTGAAACATGAAACTCTTTAACTGTGTAAAAAAGTCAGAATGAATGAAATAGCATTAGACCCCTCAGCCCCCTTTAAGGCCAGTTTCACACGGCTGTTGTCTCTGGTAAAGATCATTATATGCAAATGATTAAATATCTATCAAAACTTTACATTGTGCACTCCTAGTGGCATCAACCGGAATTGCAAATATAATGATTGACAGGTAACATTTTTTACTTAAATAAAATTTTTATATTTTAATTAAAATAAAAACTGTCATAGATAATTTCGTAAGATAATTTCTATATTTTTATTTTTCATTACAATCTTGAATGTGGAAAAATCACAGTGAAATGTCATCCAATATGAAGATGAAGTGTCCTTTGTGCGCCCCTAGTGGCATCAGGTGGAGTTACAAATGTAGTGACTGTTTTTGTTAGTTTTGTTAGTTTTCCTGTTAAGTGTTATTTTGGGCTGCCCCAAAAAAAATTAATAAAAAAGTTTACGTCACCTTCATATTTAACATTTTTTTTTAAATACATATTTAAGAAAATATTTTTTTGTGGATAATTTCGTAAGATTATTCTTAGATTCTGTTTTTCTAGCATTTTTCCAGATTTTCTTTTTATTCTTCACTACAGTCTTAAATGTGGAAAAATCACAGTACAATATTGGGCCGATATCGTACCGATATATTGTGCATCGTATTATAACGAATAATCGTAGGGGGCTAAATTGCACGCAGCTAGCAGTTGTGCAAGAGAAACAACAGCCAATTGCATAAACGGCCACATTTTTCTGG